TAATGAATAAATGACTCAATAATTATTTTCGACTACTTGCTAAGTTGTGGACAATGTTAAAACTTTGGTTGCATTGGAGATCAATTACGAAAAAGAGATTACCTGAAACTTAAAAAGAAGAGTTCGAATTCAAAGGAGAAGATGATTTTGAAGAGGAAGATTTTTTGAATTTAAAGGAAGAGAATGTTGTGTGTGTTAGAACATGAATGCATAGTTATTAGAGCCAACCCAATGATCAACTAAAAAAAACCACCGAGTCAATAGTTCAATCGGTGGGTTATTGTTAAATTTTAATTTTAATTAAATTTTATTTTTGAAGTGAGAATAAAACAATTTTTTGAAATGTAATATATATATATATTTTGCTCATAGAAAACAAAGGACCTTCATTTGCCATAATGGTTGTAGAGTTAAAATATTTTATTGCATTCCAAGGTTCAAGTCATGGCTCCAACAAATTTAGAAAAACTCCAATTTTTTTCTTCATTTTTGTTTTACAAGTTAAGGGTAAAGAAATCTTTTAAGACTTTTAAATAATTAAAACTCCTTTTATTTTTATAAGTTTGGTCAAAGCCAATTCAACAAAATGTACATTAAAGTGGGCTTCCCAACTTATTTCCCCTAAATAAAAAGTAATTTCCACCCCTGTTCTGTCATGGCTATGTTAGTGTACAAAGTCCAAAAAAATAATGTGTACTCGGCATTGACAAAATCCTATTCTAATAGCGGAACTGCAACGTGTTATTTAAGGATTTATAGAAGCAAAGGTACAAATATCGCGCAGGTAGTGAATACCCCAAAAAGCCCCCACACAAATTCCGTTATATTCTTCATTTCCCCAATCCACCCCAACTATAATTACATATCCTTCAATTTCAAGCTAAAACGGAAAGTCTAACCTCGCGTATCGTTTGAATCTTCAAACGCGTTTGGATTCCAGTGTACGTGCATCTCTCAGCTCCTCGCTATTTCCATTCTCTTCCAATGCATTTTTTTTTTTTTTTATAGTTTTTACTTATAAAGAATTTACTAATCAATGTGTACGAGTATATACGTATGTTGTTCGGTTCTGTGTATGAATCGGTTTGAATGTTTATTTTCGATGTTCAATTCCGAGATTCACGTAATCGCACCTTTGAATTTTGTTTAGGCTATGTGGATTTGTTATGAAAGCTTGTTGTTGATCTGATTGTCTTTTAGCTTTAGGCGCATTAATAAGATCAATCATTTGTCACAGCTAGTATGAAAGATCTGAATTTGAATTGAGATACACGGCGGTGAGTAGGCCCTAAGCCGTACAATTTAGTATAGAAATTAGTTGTATGAAAAGATGTGTGGTTAAAATCATGATTTTATTATTGGCGATTTGCATAATTTTATGTTGATTTTGATATAAGAGTAGGAAGATGAAGTTACCGTTCATTCGTACTTTTTATAACCGAGACAAACTGTCATGATTTAAACTTCCAAACTCTTATCTGGTCAATTCTTTTTCGCTTCTTTAACTGATGTAAGAATATCTTAAAAACTGTAAACTACAAAGAAAAACTGGATCTATCTATGGAAAAGTTCTTGGTTTGAAACTCTTACTGCGTTCTTGATTCAACAGTTAGCGTTCGGTGCAAGCAGCCTTCTTGAGGTTCATATTTGAACTTCTCGACAAATGGAGGATGATAAGAAGAAGAAAAAGAAAAACAAGAAGAAGAAGAATACGCAGGCTACTAAACTGACAGAATGTGCCACAGAATCAACTTCTGACAATCAGAGCTATGTTTCTGAGATGGCGCCAGATAATAACAGTCAAGTTTTGGGAATTCCAGTGTTACAAAATGATCTTGATCAGAAAAAAGATGTTGATATGGACAGAAGTCTTGCTAATGGCACTGAAGGTGTAAGTTCATCTGTGTTTGTGTGTGTTTCCATGTATCGTTATAGCAAGTAAAGTTGACTTTTTGTTGAATGAAAATGATTTACTGTCCCAGTTACTGTGTCATTTTCTGAATTAAATTGAGGATTGCCTATGTTTCTTGGAAATGGTTGTTATACACATCCTCTCCAATGCTGCTCTCTTTTACTGCTATTGTGATATACAGTCGGTTTTATGTGTTTGTTTGTATGAAGTTCTTGATTTGAAACTGGCTTGTTTTGACTTACATTTCTATGTGTGCGGGTTATCTTTTTGTTCAATAGACAGAAACTTCAAATAACCTGAGCCAGGTGCAGAGTGGCCTTTGCACGTCGATGAGTTTCTTATATTGTATATTCTCTGAAAGTATGATGTGTCAACATCTTTACCGAGGCCCATAAAAACTTGTGGCTCTTATGTTGTAAATTGTACATAGCTGCATTTGAACCCTTCTTTTTTTCTTTTTTCTTTTTTCTTTTTTTTTTCCTGAACAAAATCTTGTTCTTCTTGCAGCTGGAGTGCATTAACTATTATTATGTATAGTAGGTCTTATCAGTGCAATAGTGTACCTTTTTTTTTCCTTTTTCTTTCTTTAGTTATTTTAGGTGGGCTTATAGGAAATCAAGGTGTAGTAGCATAGACTATTTTTTGATTTACATAAAAATGCCATTGGATGAATCAAAATTCCAGATTTTTTTTACAAGTTTTTGTTGTTTTCTTCTTCAACTTTTGGATTTCTACGTTTTCCAATATTTTCCACATTGCTGTTTACAGATAACTTTTTCTGAAGCTGAGGAACAGTATTGTCATGACAGGGAGGTGATAACAAAGTCATTACTTGCTTGATAATCTAATACTGTAAACTAGTATTTTTTGATCTGATATTCATGGTTTTAACATATGTTTTGCAATCATACTGACTTTAATGTTTATATAGGCCAGCTTGCAAGAGAAAATTAAACAATTGCAGACTGAAAAAGATGCAAGCACATATAAAGAGGTAACAGAAACATGATTTGGCGTTCTATTTTATAGTCCTCAACATTTAATCTACTTTGTTCTCTTTTTCTTATTGACCTTTACTCTTTCTGCTAGTAATTTGTTTATATATTATATTTGTACGTACATTAATTATATTACAAAAATCATTTTCTACGCGAGTGTGTATCCCTTGTTTGTCCTTATTCCTTGTTTTACTCTTACAGGCTATCCTCGAGGAGAAAATGAAACAGTTGCTGAAGGAAAGAGATGAAAATTTACAAAAGGAGGTGACTGATGTTTAATTTAATAAACCATCGAATATTGCACCATAAGTGTTCTAATTGGCTTAATATATTCTTCACAATATAATCTATTTTTTAACAATATTTTCAACATTTATTTTATTTTTTTATTAGATCAAAAGACTTTATTTTTGCAGGCTAGCCAAGAAGGGAAAATCACACAGTTACAAAGTGAAAAGGATGCATTCATGCAGAAAGAGGTAATGTCAGTTTTAACTTTTTGGAGAAGTGGCATTTAATACCTGTACAGTGATTTTGCGCATGTGATTAATTTCTCAATGTGCTTTTCTTTTCTCATACTTGTAAAAGAGATATTGTATCTAGAAGCAATTTCTGACTATGTTGACTGATTAATGCTATCGATAGAAGATAAACTTGTATCCATAGGAAATGAAAAAGAGACAACTGATACACTCATGTAATATAAAACATAGTATAATATGCGATTAGTCGTCTCAAACATTTTGTATGATAAATTTTTATATAGAGTTTAAGTATGAGATCTTTGATTGCCCAAAATTTCTCTTTGTATGCAATTCTATTAATATTTCTACATGTTATTCCTTTATCTCTATATATCTAGATAGAGAGAAATGATTTATGTTAAGTAACAATGACATGATACATCAATTCAACAAATGTCTAGATTCGAGTGGTATTTCACCCCTAACCACAACTTATCCACTGATTCTTCAACATCATGCACTTAGTTTTACCCAAACTTCATCTTGTTCATGGATAGATAACCGAAGTTCGAGTCCATAAGCAGAAACAATCGCGTTATTTAAGTCCTGGGACCCAACACCAATTAATTGATGTTCCATGTCACCATTACTCAGCAACGGTGTTTAGTAGATCATTTGTCTCTCACTATTTATATTCTTATTTTTCTGGAAGCCAGCTAATGATTGCTTGTCTGCTACAGGATAGTCTAGAAGAGAAAATTGAACAATTGCAAAAGGGCAAGGATGCTTATTTGCAAAAAGAGGTAATTCTAACTTAATTCCACTATTTCTGATGGTAGAAGGTTATGCAGCTGCTGCAATCCCGTGGACATGTTCTATTTATTCACACTGAAGGGAATTTTTTCCCTCCGCTTTGTTACGCTGTCTAGTTTCTTATAATTTCAATCTTCATGATATGATTGATATGCAAAATTTTCAGGCTGATCTAGAGAGGAAAATTCTACAACTAGAGGGTGAGAAAGATATGTGGCTGGAGAAAGAGGTGACTCTTATTGAATTACCAACTTTATGTTGAAAGCTTGGATCTTAGAACTCTATATTTCCAACCCAGCCTCATTGGATATATTTGAGTTTGGAGTGTTCTTTGAGTTGCTGAATAACCTTTTAACAAAGGACATTTTATGTAGTTGAAATCTTGTATGTTGAAGTTCTTCCAAAAGTATTTTCTAGCTTGTCGTCTAATATCTTAGCTCTTGCAGGTTGGTTTTGAAGAGATAATTAATCAACTGGAGAATGAATTGGCCGTTCTAAATTTAAAAGGGGTAATTGATTTAATAGTTAGAATTCCC